TATATATATATATATATATATATATATATATATATTCAAGCCGTGGATACTTGAATCCGTGGATACAGAAGGTAATAATAATACATGCATCTGAGGAAGTAGACTTATGCCTATGAAAGCTCACGCTGCCAACTTCTTTCTTTCAGTGAGTCTCAGAGGTGCTACAAGATCTCTCTACAGACTAGTGCGGCTATAGCGTTGGAATAATAATAATAGTAATAATAATAATTTAATTAATTTTAAAATTCCAGGAAGAAGCCCAGGGGTCAGCCGGTTGGCTCCGAACATTAATGTCTAAGAAGACCAGGAGACTGCGATGCCCTTTCTGTCATGGAGGCTGGTGCACCCAGGTCAGCGGGATGGTGTATCCGCTCCAGATTTCATCCGGGAAGCTTATTCCTAGAATAGGTCCAAAACACACTAAAAAATTAATCCGGTTTGACATCACTTTAATGCTAGGGAATTCCTAGTAATTGTAGTTTTGTGAGACATTCAGCTTTCTCTTTCAGAGAGCTCTGGTGCCACAACAAAGTAGAATTCCCAGGATTCCCTAGTCCTGAGCCAGAGCACTTAAAGCGGTCTCAAACCGGATTATTTCTGCAGTGTGTTTTGGACCATAGGGTCAGCACCTTTAATGCTAGCCAATGCCTGGCATGGATCCACCCCATGGTTCTTTGCCTTTGAAAAAATCCAAGAATATTCCAGTCCTCATGGTTCTGGAAAAAGGAACAGGTTAAAGAGCAACCTGCCTTATTCCATGGGAACATTATCAGTGATTCCCAAACTCTGGCCTTCCAGGTGTTTTGGACTTCAGCTCCCAGAATCCCAGACCATTGGTCACAATGTCTGAGGCTTCTGGGAACTGAAGTCCAAAACAGTTTGGAAATCACTGGGCTGTGTGTATTGTGTGCCTTCATGTCATTTCTGACTTACGGCCACCCTATGGCAACCCAATCATGGGGTTTTCCATTGCCTTCCCCTGAGGCTGAGAGTGTGTGACTTGCCCAAGGTCACCCAGTGGGTTTCCATGGCCAAGTGGGGATTTGAATCCTGGTCTTTAATGCCATAGTCATAGTCCAACACTCAAACCACTACGTCACGCTGGCCTACACCAGGGCTAAGAATAATGTGGCCAATCCAAGCACCACTGGATTGCAACTCCCAGCATGCTTCACCACTTACACTGGCTAGGGCTGCTGGGTGGTGCAGTCCAAAAACATCTGGATGGCCACATAGTTCCCAACCTTGATGCACAGAGTAAATAATAGCAGCTCTCCAGGTTCTAAACAGGGCTCTTTTTCCACAACCATACCAAGAGATGCTGGAACTCGAACTGAGGACCTCCTGTAAGGAAAGCTTGGGGTCTTTTGTCATTAAGCAACTGCTCCTCAAGAACATTTTCCGAGCAATCAATCCCTCCATCTGTTTAATGGCAACCCCTCCATCATTTTCAAAGTCACAGCCTGCAACCATTTGATAGGAGCCCTTTATTTTTTTTACAGTCCATTTTCCTTTATAAGCCAGCAGCACAAATGTTAAATAACTAAGATGCACATCATAGACGTTGCAAGCATTCGAAGCTCCACACTTTTGCCTGACGAAGAAGCCAGCGGAGCTTCGAAAGCTTGCAACATGTATAATGCGCATTTTGGTTGCCATCATTGTTTTGTGGATTTTGGGTGATGCTGCATTTTGCTATAGGGCCAACACGGCTGGCCTAGGATATGTTAATTAACTAGTTAAAGATGTTATCTAGAAAATGCTTTGCAAATAATAATAATAATAATAATAATAGTTTGGCTAATTTCACTCGGCAATATGCTTTTCGTATATTTATTTGCTTTATCGTAGCAGCTGGAGCTCTGGCAATCGAATGCCAATTTAATTAAAATGCTTTTGGCCTGGAGAAATATGGAGAAGATGAATCACTCAGGTCTGTTCAGGAAATTTCACTAAGAGAGAAAATTGCAAGAGTATTTTAATGGACATATCAGAATTTATTCCTCTATGACACAAAAGCTGGGTGAACATAAAGGATATGGTTTCGCCATAATGGGACTGTGTTCCCATATCAGTAAGGAGATGAATCCACACCATATTTTTATCTAAACTTTTATATATATATATATATATATATATATATATATATATATATATATATTATAAAATATATATAAAATGAGCCATCACTATAAAGCTTTCTCTCTGTTGTGGGCTCAGCTCCTGGCCCAAACTTTGGGTGCATCTATACTGTAGAAATAATCAGTTCGACACCACTTTAAGTGCTGTAGCTCCATACTATACTCCATACTCCATACTGGGATTTGTAGTTTTGCAAGGTCTTCAGCCATCCCTGTCGAAGAGTGTGGGTGCCTCACAAAACTACAAATCCCAGGATTTGGTAGGAAGGAGCTAAGGCAGCTAAAGTGGTGTCAAACTGCATTATTTCTACAATATAGATGCACCCCTTGAGTGGATTGATGACCAGCCACCACCGCCAACATGGATAAGTTGAATTATTTCTTTTGAATTTTGAACTAGGACACTGGGAGACCAGGGTTCGATTCCCAGCTCATCCATGAAACCCACTGGGTGACCCTGGGCAAGTTACACTCTCTCAGCCTCAGAGGCATGCCATAGCAAACCTTCTATGACAAATGTTGCAAACAAAACCCCAGGATAGGGTCGACATAAGTTGGAAAGGACTTGAAGATATATGCCTACTGAGAGACATTTAAGAAGTGCTTTAAAATGCTAATTTTATTTTGCATTATGCCTTGAGTTGCAAAAGTGGACCCAGGTGCACTATGTTTTCCTCAATGGAGAACATGTCAGCCCTTTCACACACAGCCATCAGTTTGCAAGCTTTATGGGCTATTCTACCCCCCAAAAAAACCATCCATTTGTATATAGCTGCATCCCCCATTTCAATTTTCTTTTATTATGAAATGCATTAAACATCTCAACTTTCACTTTTGTCAATGACTTCCTTTTAGGAGAAATAAACATAATCCTACAAATCCCAGGATCTATTTTTCCCCCCCCCCCAAAAAAATCTCTTGCATTTGTATTGGTTACCTATTTTTATAGGGTTTTGTCAAATGAATGGAGCTGACAGATGCTGAAAACAGACATTGTTCCTCATGCAAAGATGGGTTTCCACTCTTGGGATGGCTGGATATTGGGAATACTTTGGATTTTGCACCTGCAAACACACCTGTAAATCTGGGGAATTTTTATACCCTGCAATATATTAGAATTTTTATTCATGTGAGAAAATATCAGATTAAGGCAATTCCTGGAGATTTTAAGCTGCCTGGAAATTTTCAAAAAGAATCTAAACACAAATTTATTATTATTATTATTATTATTATTATTATTATTATTATTATTACTACTACTATCATCATCATCATCATCATCTTCATCATATGTTCCACCCTTTTTTTCCAAAACTGGGACTCAGAGTGGCTTACAAGATTAAAAACAGTACAATTACAAAGAGAGAAAAGTGTTACATTAAAGCAAAATTAAATCATTACAATGTTAAAACAGATTGCATACAAAAGAATAACATATTGT